GCGGTGGGGGGGGGCAGTGAGGGCAGGTCATGAAGAGTGAGGCCAGCTTCTCCTGCCCCCTCCATCCCCCACCCCCCAAAGGTGGCATTCCAAAGCAGAAAGGACACAGTTAGTGAGTCTGCTCCATGGGTCAAGCACTCAATCTTTTTTTTTTTTTTTAGGTATCATTATTAATGTAAATTTACAAGTAAGGAAACTGAAACATAAAGAAGTTTCATCATACAGTTGGGAAATGGCAGCGCTGGGATTTCAGTCTAAGATGATTACCAAAGCTCTCTTAAACATTACAATCTGTGGACTCCCGTTCAGTTTATTGAGTGCTTACTATGTGCCTCACGTTAAGGATCCATCAGTGAATGAAACAGACTAAATCCATGCCCACCTGGAGCTGACAGTCTAGAGAGAGGAGAAAGACAGTGAACAAACATAATGGATAATGAAATTATATAGTAAGTTAGAAGGTGAAAGTGGTCTGGAGAAAAAGAAAGGAGGGTAAAGGGGTTCGGAGATGCTGCGGAGAGGAGGATGCTACAATTTAAGTGGATGGTCAAGGAAGGCATTTCAGCAAAGACTTGTAGGAGGCGAGGGAGGGAGCCATGTGGATCTGGGAGAAAGACACGCACAGGTGAGAGGGGAGCTGGAGCAAGCCTGGCATTTCTAAAGACAAGAAGGCAGTGAGAGTGACCGGAGGGGAAGGAAGAAGCTCAGGGAGGGAGGAGGGCTTGCAAAAGCTCAATCTTTACAATCCCCAAGCAACCCTGTGCAGCAGGTGTTATCCACGTTTGCTAGAGAGCAGTCTAAAGCCCGCTGTCCTTTGGACAGTGGCAGAGCTGATGCAAACCAGTCTGACCCAGAGCCCAGGTCCCGTCCATCACATGACCCTCGCCGGTGCCACCACAGAGAGGCAGTGAAACCTCATCACTGAGGGAGCTGCACGTGGTGGGGGTGAGGAATGAGAAATAAGATGGGATGGAAAAGCTACGACTGGAATCAAGGCAGAGGGGGTGAAAGTTCCGGATCAGGGCAGAAGGTGATGAGAGCAAAACCGTAGGAAGGTGGTCTGGATACTGACGCCGAAAGCTCAGCTTCTCTGTATACCGGTGCCGAATCAAACCTCAGAAACAGAGTTTGGAGTGAAGCAGAAAAGGATAGCTTTATTGCTTTGCCAGGCAAAGGGGGACACAGCAGGCTACTGCCTCAGAAAACCGTATGTCCCAACCTGGGAGGATGTGATGAGTTTTATGGTGGTAGTTCAGGGGCGGGGTTGCTGACAAGATGAGGGTGTGTGCAGGGTCTCGGGTGGTCCGTCTCCTAATCTTGATGGGCTTCTCTGGTCCCTGTAATCTCAGGTGGTTTCTTAGCTGCTCCTCCCTTGATTAGCAACTGTTCGAATCTGCCCTTTGGAACTCAGGGAAGGTCGTGGAGGCTGGAGTCTTGCCTACAAGAAACGGGGGACAAAAAGGCCTCCAGGCCCGGGAGCCCCACAGGGCCCCGCTCGGTTTCAATATCGCATGGATTGGACCGAGGAGGGATGGGGCCTGGGAGATCAGTCAATTAGCTGGCTAAGCAAATGATCAAGGGAAAGAAGACTTAGACTAAGGATATTAATAGTTGGTTTTACCCCGTGGAGAGCATGAAGAAATGAAGGGCAGGAGGAGAGAGGAGCTCCCATAAGTGTGGTTAGGAGAGTAGCCTGGAGCCCAGCTGCCCGGCTTCATGCTTTGCCTCTGCCTCTTCCTTGTGAGTTCTGCGACCGGGTTACCTAACTGCAAGTGAAGTTACTTAACATCGGTATGCCTCAGTTCTTCCCTCTCTAAAATGGGGTGATAGCAGTACCTGTATCACATGGCTGTTTGTGAGATAAATGAATAACCTAAACATTTAAAACTGCCTTTAAACTTGACCTAAATGTATCTTTGTAGAACTCTCTCCCACACCAGCCACTGGAGAATTCTCGGAGTTGATTTGATTAATTAGAAAATCCATTTATGTATCTGAAGAAACTATTTCCTTTCTTCTCTGAAGAAAATAAGACAAAACCTGTGACGTAGAAGAGGCAGACACTGTGAGTGGTCAACCCAACTGTCTTTTCTCCTTTCTTCCTTGCTGGGAGAATCCCAGCTTTGTTCAGGCCCTCCACCCTTCTTCACACAGCAGTAAGCTTCCCTCAGGTAATCATGGTGCCCCCATGGCTCTGCAAGGGATTGGTCTAGGTTTCCTCCATGGTAGAGACCATACAAGAGATTTTCCTTTTCACCCACTAGATGTTGCCAAATCTGGCTGTGATGTCTGCAACTGTGACACCCATGCTGTGACTGTAGGGTGAACTGGGCCCTCAGGGCAAACCGGACCTGCTAAGAATTGCAAAGCAGAAAGATAGAAAGTTGGTTAGAATTAACCAACTCTAGGGTCACTCAACACTTCTTGTTATGTGAGATAGTACATCTTTATTACTTCAGCTATATTGAGGCAGGTTTTTAGGCTTCTTGAAGCCGGAAGCATTCTGATACTTGCAATATCAGAATGATACTGATACCTGCAAAATCTGATACCTGCCAATAAAAATTTGGTAGCAATCTAGATGGAGCCATTCATCTTTTTCTATGTACATTATAAGAAGTGAAGCTCTGGGGCTTCCCTGGTGGCGCAGTGGTTGAGAATCTGCCTGCTAATGCAGGAGACACGGGTTCGAGCCCTGGTCTGGGAGGATCCCACATGCCGTGGAGCAACTAGGCCCGTGAGCCACAACGACTGAGCCTGCGCGTCCAGAGCCTGTGCTCCACAACAAGAGAGGCCGCGATAGTGAGAGGCCCGCACACTGCGATGAAGAGTGGCCCCCGCTTGCCACAACTAGAGAAAGCCCTCGCACAGAAACGAAGACCCAACACAGCTAAAATAAATAAATAATTAAAAAAAAAAAAGAAGTGAAGCTCTAAATTCAAAACCATGGCTTTTGGTTTTCACAAAGAAACAAAACTTTAAGAGAAACACATACCAGTGTGTTGCAGGGGAGTTTGCATTATCTTTTTATATAAAAGGCAACAGCTGTTTTCTAAAATACTTTTGGGGCAAAACTTTCTAGTTGAACAACCCCAAACCAGTCAGATGCATAAAATCCTTCTGAATGATTGTTATCTAACTCTAATTCTAGAAATGAATAATTTCTGAAATAATTTTAAGTCTAGTGTGAATTAGCAGGCTAAATGGTCTGGAACATTAAAACCCCAAAGCAGATATTTAGTAAGAAGTATATGTGGGACGAGTATTGAGACTAAAACAATTTGGTTTCAATCTTCCTCACAATCCCTTATGCTACAACACTTGAGCCTACATCCATCTTAATCCACAAAAAGTTGCCTGTTCGAGAACAAACGTATGGACACCAAGAGGGGAAAGGCGGGGTAGGATGAACTGGGAGACTGGGATTGACATATATACGCTAATACGTATAGAATCGACAACTAATGAGAACCTGCTGTATGGCGCACGGAACTCTACTTAATGCTCTGTGGTGACCTAAATGGGAAGGAAACCCAAAAAAGAGGGGATATATGTATACATACAGCTGATTCACTTCTCTGTACAGCAGACACTAACACAACATTGTAAAGCAACTGTACTCCAGTAAAAACAAACCAAAACTGTTGCCTGATCGTTCACTTTTGAGAGTTGAGCTTCTTAGACTTGCCCCAGTTTTATTCAGCTTTTAATTTCACACCCCTCTCCCACACAAGGAGGAAGAATATTAATATTGTGTGTTAGTGGGCGAAACTCTGCCTTAAAGTTCCAGTGTATGGACGTGTCTTCATCCAAGTGGGGAAACTGATCTAGCCCGGTTTGGACTGAGTCATCTCACTTGCTTCAATGGAAGGAAGTGTGATAAGATCAAAGAATGGGCAACCGAGGGAGGTAAGATAAAGTGGGCGGGCTCATGGGCTGCTTCAGTTTGACACCCAGCTTACTGGAATTCACTTCTTTGGGACCATGGGTAGATGGCCCAGCTGATAGCAAAGTACTATTTTTACCTCCTTTGTCACTGGCCTTTGTGCTTTGGGAATGTTGTAGGGGAGAGTTTGGGAACGTTGGCAGTGATTGGGCAGAAATAAGGGGTTTCTGGCTTCCTTGGCTCAAAGCTGTCCTAAGATCACCAAGATCTACCACAACATCTAACAAGGTTCCTGTATCTTCAACCACAAATGTAAGTTTCCCGTTCTTCAGATATTTTCGCTGATCTTCTTCTGATTTACGTTCAATATCCTTAACATTTATGGAGCCCATCAGATACGTCTGGCTGATGTGGCTAATTTTTCTGGATTCATGGGTGTATGGGGTGCCATACCAAATACACAGCAGGCTCCTCACCTTTCATACCCCTCCCTCAGGTCTTACTATGATGCTTTGAAAAAGGTAAAAGGTTAGTACAGTAAGTCCCCCACATACGAACCTTCAAGTTGCGAACTTTCAAAGATGCGAACGTGCGTTTCATCAGCGTCAGGCGTGAGTGAAACTGCAGCTTGCCTTGCATCTCCTGTTGCTGACGATCCTTCAGCTCTACCATCTCCCACCTCCCCTCCCTTCTCCAGTCCATAACTCTTCTTGCCTGTTCACTCGATGCCAGCCCCTGTATGCCAGCTGTTTTACTGTACTACTGTACTTTTCAAGGTACTGTACTGTAAGATTAAAAATGTTTTCTTTGTTGTTTGCGTTTGTTTTTTATGTATTATTTGTGTGAAAGTATTATAAACCTATTATAGTACAGTACTATGTAGCCGATTGTGTTAGCTGGGTACCTAGGCTAACTTTGTTGGACGTACAAACAAAGTGGACTTACGAACGCACTCTCAGAATGGAACTCGTTCGTATGTAGGGGACTTACTGTAACATTTTTAAACAACTTCAAATGTAAAGTTTGCTTAGTAATTTAAATATACAGGAAGACATGGCAGAGAAATACGTTACTGCCTTCCTGCCCCAGGCAACCAAAGGAAGACAACGACAGGTGATTGTATATTTTGTTTAATACTTGCATTGTTTCTATAGCGCAATTATAGCAATCTTTAAATTTACTTTTCATTACAAATATTTGTCAAGTTTTGTTTCAGAAACATTTTTCCTACTCTTGCACATGCACCCAGACACACTACAAAAAACTCATTCATAACACAGTAAGGGCAAACATTATTCATGTAAACATCTTTCATTAATTTCCCATAATTTAAAAAAATCATAGAATTATAGATATTGAATAAGGCTCATAGATTTAGTTCAAATTCCACAAAAGACCAATCAAAGATGCTCGTTAACTGTGATGAGGTTAACTTTTGGTTGCAATAAATGCCGAAAGCATTCCCCTGGCTTCCAATCCTTAAACATACCTCACAACCTAATCAATGCATTTCAGGATAAAAAGAGAACACAGAAAACCCAGGAGGAAAAACTTTTGAAGTAGGGAGCTCAGAACCATGAACCCAACTTTCCTCTATGATAAGCAGACATCATGTAGTCCCTGTAGTTTCCCAGTACATGACTTGAGATGAATGACAGTCACCCAAAATGTAACCAAGTTGTAGGTTAAGATACATTGGTATGTGTGTACATATTGCTAGTATACACAGTGAAAATTTGTCATCATATTTATCATTTCATTATATCCAGGACTAAAGCGGAAAAAAAAACAAACCACTCAAGTTGAATATCATTATAAAGGAGTGTTCTAGTAAGAGTCAGTGGAGTTGGGAGGTATGTCCTATAGGGAGGTGATTGGTCTTGATGTTAAAACGACTTCTAACAACGGTGTGTAAAGTCACAGACAGAGGAAGCAAGGATCTGCGTTATCCGAGGATGTCTCTCTCTGGTTGGAAGTTTGGTGCTTGGGTGCATAGTTTCCCAGAGCTGAGACCGGAAGTGTACTGTGCTGAGAAATGGGCCCCTTGCCAGCAGGACCCTCCTCCGTCCTCTCTCGAGGTGGAGGCCCAGAGGCAGGGACTGCTGGCAAAACCGTGAGGTCCCACCCGGGGGTCTGAACCCCAGCTCCACTGAGGGCAGCCTCCCTGACGTGTGTGACTAGGCAGTAAGGAAAGCGGTGGATGGCGGCCAGAAAACCCGGTTCCGAGGTTCCCATGGCCACGTCTGGCTTCTGATTCTGCTGCCCTGCAAAGAAATTGTGCTCCGGATAACTGCACCGGTGTCTCTAATGCCTCTGAGTCACTCACGGGCCCCCAAAGGCCCGGAGTGATGTCACTAAGGGTGGACATACCTCCACGAGCACCTAACTTCCACCAGGAAGCGGCTGAGGCACTGGGGAAGCCTACGAGCTCTCTCCACGTCAGATGCAACAACGCGGGGAAGTTGCCATGAGTCAGAGTTTTTTGTAGGCTTTTTGATTTTGTAAAAATCAAAACTGATCTGCATTATATCTCAATAGACTCAGAGAATTCTCACCAAAAATGTTTGCAATTTGTTTAAATAGCACTGGAATAATTCAACTTCACTTAAATATATTCATTCTACCATGAAAATAGTTCATACAAACATCTATTTACATACAAACACGTTAAAATTTGTGAAAAGGGTTTCCATCCCTGTGGTTGTATGGCTTGAAATAGTTTTCATTGCTTTGAGTATGTCTGCACCCATTTGGCAAAATAAAACGATTACAATTTAGGATTTTAAAAATCAAAATGGACACTGAGGCTCCACATTCCTGAAGGGAAAGATCAAAGACAAAAAAAAAAACAGTCTATCAAGGTACCTCAAGTAGATGTAAATTCAATATATTTTGTGAACCTTTGATCTGCGGCAAATAAACATTACGACTATCAGTCTTGCAACATGGTTTTGCTTGTTTTTCTAAAATGAAAGATGTCTGGATTCTAAATCACTACTCTTAAGACAGAAACTTGAGGCAACTGTTTTAAAACAAAGCACAACAGAAAACAATAACCTTCCTGGAAGATCTTAAATGCATTTTGCAGTGAGTGATTTAAAATTCCATATAGTAAAGGAAATTTACTAAAGTGCCACATACCACTCACTGAGAAGACAACCCTCGAACTCACTGTTCACAGTTACTGCAATTTTACCCTTACAATTAAATGTTGTCAATGGTTACACCTGGCCTTCACTTGGGCCTTTTCAGGTTGTTGGTGATAAGGAAATTGTTTTTCAATGTGAAGAACCCCCAGAAGGCAAATAAGTTTAATGACAGCCCCAGACAGGTTCAAAGGGGTCTTGAACAACGAATTTCCTTCTCAGTTTCTCAGGCAGACCAGGGATGAAGCAGGTTAAAATAAGAATAGGTAATGCAAAACTCAAGTCTTCCTTGCCTGTAGCTTTTAAATCTCATCAGTCCTCTGTGTCAGAAATTCAGTCCTTACGGTTGTTTTTTGTGAGTCCTTTCAAATACCCATTTGGGGACATACTCCTACAGATTAGTTCCTATTCCTAACTCTAACACAAGATAATATTTTGTCATAGAAAAGCTGCTAAGGAAAGATCTAGTCATGCAGGAGTTGGACTGAGACAGCTCTGAGTGAATCTGATGGGGACCATGGCATCAGGCACCCTCCTCGGCACCGGCCCTTTTGCAGGAGAGCAGAAAGTTACTCCTTTATCCCCACCACCTGGACTCTTCCACATTTGTTACGATGCTGATGAAACTACCTGCTTCCTGACATATTTCCTTCCACAGCGGACATCAAGATTCAGTAGAAAAATACATCCCAAGGCTTCCCCCTCAGCTTTGGCTCAAACAGGGAACAAACCCTATTCCCTCACCAGTTAATTCCTCATGGGACCCCAACCCCCTTGACTGTTTTATCTACCTACAGAACACAGTGAATCTCAAGGCCCCCTACGACCCCACCCTGTGACAAAGCCTTACATTTGGTTGGGGGGGGGTGTCAGGGGGACAACAGAAGCAGCAGAACCAGACATGGACACAGAGTGATGGAGAGAGGTACTCGCAGAGGGACAGACAGACAGAGAGGGTCCAATGGGCCAGAGAGACTGGGAGGAGAGGAGGGAGAGAGGGAGCGGTCGGAGGGATCAGCTGGCACGCTGTTATGTACAAACACCAGCCATTCTCACAGACAACAGAGAGAGAGAGAGAGGAGCGGGTAGGGCAGGAGAAAGAAGAGCCAGAGAACAAGGGAGACAGGAGAGAGGACGTGGAGAGGCTCAGCTTGGATGTACTGCTTCCTCTGATTTGTCTGAACGTCACAGACAGACACACTGCCAGGCTTTAAACTCAGAGGGTTATTCACTATCTTATTTGAAAAATGGATTCGCTGGTTAATCACTATTTCCAACTCTTCAGCCACTTTTGTCAAAAGAAAAGAAAAATTCCATTTGAATGGGGAAGCCCATTGGGACAGAAATTACACCCCATGGCAGCCGGCAGCCTGAAGTCCTTGCTTTGGATCCTGCGCCATCCTCCCCCGACCGACCGCACTCCCTGATCTGGCTCCACAACCCAACTCACTGGGGCTGATTAAAGCCATCTTTCTCCTGAAGACAGTCACTTTGGGACACGTTTGAATGAAAGCACCTATCAGAATACAAGTCCCAAGACTCTGCCCATCGGCCAGTTTATGGAACGGTCTCTTTCTACAGAATAGAAGCAATCCTATCCTGGTGCCTTTTAATCTAAAAACTCTATTCAGTTCACTTCGCGGAAGATCTTCCTGGCAGCCTCAGAATTTCTCACGAGTGAACCAGCAGCTTAGCTCCCTGAAACCATGGCCACCCAGCTGCACTGCTGGGGACAGGGGAGCTCTGGGAAGCCTGGATTTACCAAGGGAAAGGGCCACTTCTGTCACTGTCTTGAAGGCTGAATCCTGTGCCCAGGAGCTGCCAGAACTGAAAGTTGTGAGCAGCTCTGGATGAAGCACTTTTGTTAAATTCTTCCCAAGAGCAATGTGTCACTGACATGAAATAGCAAACTTCCTCCTGCCTGTTTCTTTTCTCTTTTCCTGCTCCCAGCAAGCCTTCCCTACTAGCCAGAGCTACAGTGTGGAAGGCTTCAGCTTTCAAGACCAAACTGACTCGGTGACAGGTGCCCCAGCTGACAGTTGCAACTTGTAGCAACTGCTGCTTTCCAGACCTCCCAGCTCCTCAGCTGGGCATCTGAAGAGGACACAGCTATGGCGTGTGGTGAGGGCACTTACAAAAACCCCAAACTCCCAGAATTCCCCCAGAGTAATCCCAGTCAGGTTACATACCTAATTAGCTAAACTAAAAAACAGGGGCTTTTCTCCTTATTTCTGCAGTTGTGATTACACACGGCTAGCAAAAATGGCTGAAATGCTATTGATACCGTTGCTTCTAAACTATACAGGTGTTAGTCTTAATTCACAAGGCTGTGAAGCAGATAAGTGCTTTGAAATTACAATGATGAAGAGTTTTACCATTAAGGTTTGATTTGTACCTAGTGATCAGTACGTCTCTCTTAACAGTAGCGATTTAAAAAAAAAAAAAAAACGAAAAACGAAAAAAACCTTTTGAATTCTGTGTTATAATTCAAGTTTGCTATTTGACTTTTGAATTCAATGCACTGTGCCACAAGCCAGACTGCTCTGTTATGTACATTTAATGTGTACCCAAGGAGAAAGAAAATTACTAGCACTATTGAAGATATTGCAAAATTGCCACGTCTACTGCTTAGAAATACTAATTTCCCTCTCTTCTTTCTTAAAGTATATGTTACAACTCTTCCATAACTTAATGCAAACAAAGTAAATTCATTTCTTCTCACATCTTAAAGCAAAGATACCTTTGTTTACATGCGAGAATAATAATTCTATAATAATAGCCCGGCCCTAGGAGCCAGGTCTTTATATTAGGACATAATAATGAAACAGTGATATAGAGAGAGCCAGAGAGACCTACACACTGGCACTGAAACGAAATCCATTTGGAAGTTTTCTCTTGTGAAAGATACCTAAGATAGAGAAGAGGACTAAGGGGTGAAGTGACTCAAAAAGTGGGGTTCTGTTCGCTAGGGAAAAAACAAAGCCATTCTATTGCAAGAACAGATCAAAGGTTAAAAGGCAAATGATACTACATTTAGAGAATAAAAATGTAGTAATTCTCTGTCCTCCATATGGCGCATATGCAAGTGTGATAACGCAATTTGCACTGGCCACAGAAATAAACCTCATGGAAAAGCCACTGACTAAAAATGACTGAAAAACCCCCTTTTTCCCTTTTTTCAGTCTAATCGTTTGGCATCTCTGAATGTGGTACAGATTTAGTCTTGAACCACCCAAGAACATCACGCTGTCTTCTGTCAAGTGCTCAACAGTACCTCTCAGGAGGGCGTTGTTGCTAGCTAATTTTAAATCTGGTATGAGTAATACAGTCAGACCTAGTTAGTATTCGAGAAAGTTGTAGCGAACGCAGAGTGAGAGGATGTGATGTCACAGCATGAGCAGTCCCTGGTTGTCCCGTTGTCGGATAAACGTAGTGCATAGATCCAAGTTTCTATTCCAGGTCTCTGAAGCCCAGAGCCAGGCCTTTCACTTCTGCTGGGTGGCCTGGAAGGCCTTCAGCTCCACCTGGTACCACTCGGGGGCTTCAGGCCCACTCTTTCCCGGGGGGCTGTGGTCGTAGCCATAGGCAACAGTGAGTTCCTCGTCGGCCTCCACGGCTCGGAGCGTGCGAATGCATTTGATGGGTCCAAAACGGGGGTGGACAAACCTAGACATCAAGATGCACATGGTCATTCTCGGGCCGGACCGGGAGGTCAGATGCAGAGGCTAGAAGGGCTGAGGCAGGAATCACCCATGTGCTTGCTGCGCCCTGGACACCACCGGCAGGTCCTCAGTGTGCGGGCCACCGAGGAGCCGGCATCAGCTTCCCCTGGGAGCCTGGTGCTCACGGGGGTACTCCGGGCTTCCCCACCCAGACCTGGTAGTGGAATCTGCATTCTAACACCCCGCCCCCCTCCCCCTCCCCGGTGATTCCTATGTACATTAAGGTTTAAAAAGCACGGCCCTATCTTCCTTTCTGAGCCTATTTGCCACTCTGTATTTGTAAATCAACAATCAGGATCTTCAACAAAAATCTGTCTTTAATGAGAAATCAGATCCAGTGCAGCCTGTCAGCATTTCAGCTGTACCTCGGGGAAAGGCTTTGCCAGGGCACTTCTGGAGTTGTAAGAAAGAGCCCTGTGGATTTTCAAAAGCAAAAACCTCTGTTTTCCATCCTGTACCTATAGAGGAAGAGTTATTTTCTAGCATAAAAGTAAACGAAGGGCTTCCCTGGTGGCGCAGTGGTTGAGAGTCCGCCTGCCGATGCAGGGGACACGGGTTCGTGCCCCGGTCCGGGAAGATCCCACATGCCGCGGAGCGGCTGGGCCCGTGAGCCATGGCCACTGAGCCTGCGCGTCCGGAGCCTGTGCTCCGCAACGGGAGAGGCCACAACAGTGAGAGGCCTGCGTACCGCAAAAAAAAAAAAAAAGTAAATGAAGATCTTTTTCCCAAGAGGGAAGCTCAGACCGCTCTGCCATCCTGCTTCTTTCAGATTTCCCTCCGATGCACCCTGTGATGGGAGAGGCCGGGCTAAAGCTAGGATTATGCTCCTCTGCCAGAGGCTCCCAGCCTGGCTCACCTGCACAGCTCCCTGCAGGGGAACGGGAGCTAAATAAGTATTAAGAGACTCATCTCCTCTAACAGCTGCTGAAACCCAACACCGATACCTGGAAGGCAGGCCAGAAAGAAATTAACTTTGTTTTCCTATGCATCTGGTCCAATCCATTCATTTATAGTTACATTTTGAACAAAGGGCATTGAAACACCAAAGGAGGAGGTTCCAGGCCGGAAGTCAGAGGTACATGGGGCTTGATGGCAAGCGCTTGGTGGGAGAGGAGTGTGTCTGCAGTGTATGGACATATTTTGTGGGGAGTAAAAAGGAACAACCACACCCTCACTCCAAGGGGGCCTCTATGTCCACCCCCTTTGGCTGTCCTGTTTCTTGGAAAGCACACTTGATTTGGGCCCGAAGACTCTGGTGTGAGTCCTGGTGCCACACATTATTACTGCGTCCTTCTGGAAAGCTCGCCTCTGTGTCTCTGAATCTCACTTTCCTCACCTGCCAAATCATGATAACACCAGTAATCCTTATCCTCCAAGAGTCATTGTGGTGACAAGATAGGGTCACATAAATAAAGCACCACACGCAGCGCCTGGCACAACTGAAGACTCGTATCAGTCGTGACATGTGTAAGCAGGCACGTGGGTATATGAGAGCACGCACGTGCACAGGAGTCTCAGACTGTGCTCCAGCACAGAGGACATCCCTGGATCAGGGATTTGGGAATTCCTTATTAAAATCACAACTCTTTGTCTCTAAATTAAAATATTTCATTAAAAAATAATACTCCTTACAATGGAATATTACTCGGCCATAAAAAAGAATGAAATAATGCCATTTGCAGCAACATGGATGGACCTAGAGATTGTCATACTAAGAGAAGTCAGTCAGACAAAGAAAAATATATGATATCACTTACATGTGGAATCTTAAAAAAAAAAAGATACAAATGAATTTATTTACAAAACAGAAACAGACTCGCAGACATAGAAAACAAACTTATGGTTACCAAAGGGGAAAGGCGGGGAGAGGGGGAGGGATAAATTAGGAGTATGGGATTAACAGATACACACTACTATATATAAAATAGATAAACAACAAGGACCTACTGTATAGCACAGGGAACTATATTCAATATCTTGTAATAACCTATAATGGAAAAGCATCTGAAAATGAATATATGTATATCCAAATCACTTTGTTGTATACCTGAAACTAACACAGTATTGTAAATCAGTGATACTTCAATAAAAAAAATACTCCTGAAATGGAGCTCTAGGTAACCTTCTGGTACACTGGAAAAAAATCACACAAGAAGCCTAAGATTTCTCTTAGCGTCCTCTTGTACTTTAATTTTCTTGCTCATGATCGTTATTCTCAGTAGAAAATGGACAGACTGAAAAGACCGAACTCAATCTCAGGTGCTGATTCTTCAAAGCAGCCCTAAGGCACAATGGTTAAGAGCACTTCTCCACTTTGACAAGAGCCCTGCGTTTCTTTTCTTTTCTTTTCTTTTTTTTTGCAGTACGCGGGCCTCTCACTGTTGTGGCCTCTCCCGTTGTGGAGCACAGACTCCGGACGCGCAGGCGCAGCGGCCCTGGCTCACGGGCCCAGCCGCTCCGCGGCACGTGGGATCTTCCCAGACCAGGGCACGAACCCGCGTCCCCTGCATCGGCAGGCGGACTCTCAACCACTGCGCCACCAGGGAAGCCCGAGCCCTGCGTTTCTTGTCACTGATCTGGGACCAGCAGTAATACCAGGAGCCCCACGCAGTTACTGGGAGGATTGAATGACAATGTGCACAGAAGGCTTTAGCACAGCACCGACCTAGAGGAAGTGCTCAGGAAACACTGGCTGCACGATTAGCACTCAGACCAAACCTCTGGGCCACCCTCTTCGGTCCCTTGTGGACAAGTAACCTATATTTACAGCGAGAAAAGTAGTTCCTGCCTATCTGTCCATGTGGCACGCTGTACCAGAGTGCAGTTAAAACAGCTTATAGAACTGCTGTTCTGTTTAAGTTACAGTGTGCATAACAGTACCAATGATTTTAGAAACAAATGAATGCCATGGATGGGTATCTGAATGTTATATTTGATTATTATTCAGCTAGTTTCCCCATGACACCCAATAACTAATCGTTCACATTGGGCTTGGAAAAAAAAAAAACTCTGAGGAGGGACTTGATTTTGCACAAATGGTTCCTTCTCTTGTCTCCTGTGCTCTCTTCTTTTTGATGAGAAAAATCACGTTCTTGCCATGAAATCACAGGACTCATTTGTTTTAAGGGGCAGCCTAAGTAGCATTTGTTATCCTTAGTTACCACTGCTTTAAAGGGTTGTTGTTCAGCTGTGTGCAGCCTGCAAAGATGCTTTGGCCTAATTCACACTGGCCGTGAAAGCCTTGGAGTTAATAACAGTGTCAGTTTCATTTCACATGACACATGTCCTTTGCCATTTCTACCCGCCCTTTAAACAGAAGTTGTAGCTTCAGTACTTGGTACTGGCTGACAAGGAGAGCAAGTCAGTGCCAGACAATTTTAAAGCCATCTCAGGGATGCAAGAGGGGATATTCAAATCCTGGCAATTTTCCTACAGATTAAATGCACATGATCAGATCCTGCTTATGTTAACGAGCTAGAGGACTAAGTGACAGCAAACTACAGCTGAGCAGAAAAGGTTGCACACAGCTGCCTAACTCCTAGACTCCTAGCCTGTCCTCAGCCCGAGTTAAGGACAGCAACAACACGGAATCTCAGCTGTATCCTTTAAGGCATAGTCGGAGATGCTTGCCTTTTGGAAGAGAGGGTTTAGAGGGCACATGAAAACTACTAAGATATTTGTAGGACTACTATGTGGAAGAGAGACTGACACTGTACACAAGAAAAAAGGGAGGTAATTAGGGCCAAGGGCTGGATATTACAGGGAAACCCATAAGGGCTCAACAGAAGGAACTTTCTAATCATCAGAGCCCAACAGCTAATTCCATGGTATGTATTTGTTTGTCCAGACAGCCGCCTTTGTGGATAATGGTAAGGTTCTCATCAATGGAGGTTTCCAAGAGGTTCAATGCACCGTTGGAAGGGGAAGTAGGATTATTTGATTTTTTAAAATAATGATTTTGTTGAGATATAATTCATGTCTCATAAAATTCATCCATTTAAAGTGTACAATTCAGTGGTTTTCAGTTGTGCAACCATCACCACTAATTTTGGAAGCTTTCATCAGCCTCAAAAGGAACCTCCACGCTCATTAGCCATCAACTTCTACTCCGCCCACCCCCGCCCCCAGCTCTAGGCAACCACTGATCTGCATTCTGTCTCTGCGGCTATAGTGGACTGTTCATATACATGGAAATCATACACTACATGCTCTTGTGACTGGCTTCTTTTGTAATATTTATTTATTTATTCTGGCTACACTGGGTCTTCGTTGCGAGCACGCAGGATCTTCGTGGCAGCATGTGGGATCTTTAGTTGCGGCACATGGGATCTTTAGTTGTGGCATGCAGGCTCTTAGCTGCGGCATGCATGCGGGATCTAGTTCCCCCACCAGGGATCGAACCCAGGCCCCCTGCATTGGGAGCGTGGAGTCTTAACAACTGGACCACCAGGGAAGTCCCCATGACTGGCTTCTTGCACTTAGCATGTCTTCAAGGCTCCTCCATGTTGTAGCACGTGTTCAGTATTTCATTCCTCTTGATTGTTACATGATAGGGACTCTGATTTTACACGTTTTTTTCCCAATACTGAGAGCTCACACCCTAGGCTCAGGATCTTTTGGTTCTCCTTCCTTGCACATAATAAAAGGATTCCCTAATATCCACTGTGCAGAGTCATTTCAATTTGTACTATTACTTCAAAGGACACTACCCTTAATTTTCCAGAATGAGACAACTAAAGGACAAAAAAGCCACACTAAAACAGCAACCACTAAGTACAGCATTTCTACTCTTCGAAGCACTTTTCCATTTCTGAGTTTCAAGTTATAACCATGAGGCCCCTGGCCAGAGGACCCTCGAATATTCTGAGGAAGCCACCTTCCTCAAGGCAGGATGACACCTTTGAGGTACCCTCCTCATTCTCGGGGCCCCAGCCACTGGCCGCTTGGTATCCTACTCACATGTCATAGATGCAGTTCGGAGTGAAGGAGTGATTTGCCTTGTGTCCTAAGGAGGCACAGTACTTGGATACACGGTTGTAGGGCTCAGGCACATCAATGACCGTTTCTTCATCGAGGGAGAGGGTGTTCCCATTAAGAGTCCAGTCCCTGCTATCAACCTGCAGAAAACAAGAAAGTGAACATTAGAAAGGCCCTTCCTCCCAAGAGCTCAAAGGACACCGGAGATATTAACTCATTTATCCTTAAACTTCACGGTGTGAGTGCCATATACATGGGAAGAGCCTAAGGCATCCCTTGCACCTCGATGGTGCAAACCCTGCACACTGATGGTGCAAAAGGCGTATGTGGGCAGCGCCGGGCAGCTCAACTTAGCATTTATTGATTTTCCCCTATCTTATACGAAAAAAAGGATTTAAAGTCCCTTTACAAAGACACAAAAAAGTCCCTTTACAAAGACACAAAAAAGATGTCTACTTTTTTTAACATCTTTATTGGAGTATAATTGCTTTACAGTGGTGTGTTAGTTTCTGCTTTATAACAAAGTGAATCAGCTATAATATGCATATATCCCCATATCTCCTCCCTCTTGCATCTCCCTCCCACCCTCCCTATCCCACCGCTCTAGGTGGTCACAAAGCACCGAGCTGATCTCCCTGTGCTATGCGGCTGCTTCCACAAGCTATCTTTTTTACATTTGGTAGTGTATATATGTCCATGCCACTCTCTCACTTCGTCCCAGCTTACCCTTCCCCCTCCCCATGTCCTCAAGTCCATTCTCTACGTCTGCATCTTTACTCCTGTCCTGCCCCTATTGTTCTTCAGAACCTTTTTTTTGTTTTTTTAGTTTCCATATATATATGTTAGCATACGGTATTTGTTTTTCTCTTTCTGACTTACTTCACTCTGTATGACAGACTCTAGGTCCATCCACCTTACTACAAATAACTCAATTTCGTTTCTTTTCATGGCTGAGTAATATCCCATTGTATATATGTGCCACATCTTCTTTATCCATTCATCTGTCAATGGACGACACTTAGGTTGCCTCCATGTCCTGGCTATTGTAAATAGAGCTGCAATGAATGTTGTGATACATAACTCTTTTTGAATTATGGTTTTCTCAGGGTATACAGTGGTATATAGTGGCCCAGTAGTGGGATTGCTGGGTCATATGGTAGTTCTATTTTTAGTTTTTTAAGGAACCTCCATACTATTCTCCACAGTGGCTGTATCAATTTACATTCGCACCAAGAGTACAAGAGGGTTCCCTTTTCTCCACACCCTCTCTAGCATTTATTGTTTGTAGATTTTTTGATGATGGCCATTCTGACCAGTGTGAAGTGATACCTCATTGTACTTTTGGTTTGCATCTCTCTAATGATTAGTGATGTTGCATCCTTTCATATGTTTGTTGGTGATCTGTATATCTTCTTTGGAGAAATGTCTATTTAGGTCTTCTGCCCATTTTTGGATTGGGTTTTTTGTTTTGTTTTTAATAAATTTATTCATTTATTTATTTTTGGCTGTGTTGGGTCTTCGTTGCTGCGCACGGGCTTTCTCTAGTTGCGGTGTGAGTGGGGGCTACTTCTCATTGCGATGGGCGGGCTTTTCATTGCAGTGGCTTCTCTTGTTGCAGAGCACGGGCTCTAGGCCCGGAGGCTTCAGTAGCTGTGGCGCATGGGCTTAGTTGCTCTGCGGCATGTGGGACCCTCTCGGACCAGGACTCAAATCCATGTCCCCTGCATTGGCAGGCAGATTCTTAACCACTGTGCCACCAGGTAAGTCCCAGGTTGTTTGTTTTTTTGACATTGAGTTGCATGAGCTGCTTGTAAACTTTGGAGATTAATCCTTTGTCAGTTGCTTCATTTGCAAATATTTTCTCCCATTCTGAGGGTTGTTTTTTCGTCTTGTTCATGGTTTCCTTTGCTGTGCAAAAGCTTTGAAGTTTCATTAGGTCCCATTTGTTTATTTTTGTTTTTATTTCCATTTCTCTAGGAGGTGGGTCAAAAAGGATCTTGCTGTGATTGATGTCATAAGGTGTTCTGCCTGTTTTCCTCTAAGAGTTTCATAGTGTCAGGCCTTACATTTATCACCAGATGTCTTGAATTAAAAGCAGGTGAGTGTTATGTCAACGAGTCAAAGATGGCGTCTGTGTATGGGCCCCTAGGTTGTTTATTTCTTCACTACTGGCTGAGACCTGTTACCTTAAAAGCCCATCACCACCAACCTTAAATTTTTACAGACCCCACTCTTATTTTAAATAGCCCAAACAGAGCAGAGTTTTAGCCATTCAGAGTTTGCTTCATCCACAAAACCTCACCCCACATCTGCTAGGAGCAGATAGATAAACCCAGGACCATAAAGACGCCAGACTGTAGCTGTCCTTTGGAGTTCTTTGGCCCAGAGACCCCTCCCAGGCTACACATCACCTAGACATGTCAAGCCCCTCTCCGGTCCTTCTTTTTCCCAGGAGTTCCGTTGCCCTGCTCCCCTCTGGACCTTGGCCCCTGTGCCATAAACCTCTGAACGGCCTCATGCTGGGAGGACACCCCCTCCCATGCAGCCCTGCCCAATCACCACCCCATATCTATAAAGCTTGTTGTGTGCTGCTGCCTCTTGTGGTCTTTTTCTTTAATCAGCCCTCAAATCCCTTGAACCTCTACAGAGAGAAGGATGAAGCCAAAGAAAAATGAAAGTAAGAACATCAAACAGAACCGGAAACCTAAGGAATGCAAAACTGAGCGCCAGAAAAGTCCTACACCTTTGCTGCAGATGGGCAATCGGTGTGACCAGCAGAGTCACGGACAACCAGTGTGCTTTCTCACCCACAGCAGGACTCACTATCCGCTGTGCAAGCAGCAGGCATCCCTTCTCCCAACCAGTCCTGACCAACAGGCCCCAGCATCTGTGCATGCCAGCAAGGACAGCGTTTTGGAACTAACAGGATCCCACTTTCATTCAAAAACTGTTGACACTCAGAGGTATACCATCTCTCCTGTCTGTAAGCTACAATTATGCTTTTATTTGTATCTGATATTCATTCAACAGATACTGACTGAGCACCTACCATATGCTAGGCACTGTTCTAGGTGCAGGGGATACAGCAGTGATGAAAGTGAAAAAATCTTCGTGGATCTTAATATTCCAGACCTGTTATGTGATTTGATATATGACACTCAGTACCATTGTCCTTATGTTGCCACTAGTTGTGTATTTTTCTCATCGAAACTTCATGAAGGCAAGGAGGCACCCTCATTCATTTATATAGTGAGTCTCAGCACAGAGCCAGATTCTGCTGTTAGAAACCTTGCTTGAATTCTGCCATTACTATATTTGTGACCTTAGGCAAATTGCTTAACCCCTCTTGGCTTCAGTTTCCTTAGATGTAAAACGTTTGAATAAATTATGTGTCAGTATCCCGCGCCACCGTCCACAGGCTGAATTCCTTGGACTTTCTGGATTGACCATCACAAGGGGACACTGCGAGGCAGATCACAGCTCAGTTTCTGCACTGACATCTTTGTCTGGGCGGCTGCTTTGAATGTACAGTGACTTGATTATTTCTTGGCCTTTTGCTTTTTATCATTCCATAGGAACAAACGAAAAATGAAGACGTGAAGGTGGGATATGAGTGATGGGCTTAAGTCCCACCCAACTTCACACAAGTGAGACCAGGATGGACAGAGCCCTAGCTGTGCTCAAAGCATCAAGCTTTCACCCTTCAGCAGACACTTAAGGAAGCTAGTTGTGAAGTAAAGAAGCAAAAACAAAAAAACATATATGAAATCTGAGAAGTGTATCAAAGATTGTGTCTTAAAGGCAAGAGGTGATTCAACAATTCAACTTTTAATTTTTTTTGGAAATAGAACCCTTCCAGGTAAGATGGAGGCTATTGTATGGCTTTTGCACAGACAGAAGTAGGGCCCTTCCTGTAAAGCACCCCACCCAAGGTCATAAATTAATTATTGACAGAGTTCGGTTGGATCTCAATTTTTCAGATACTGGGTGTAGTCCAATACAAAGCAATTACTGTCTCCCTGATGGTACCAGCCCACTCTCTATAAAATAGCTGTGGAATGTAAAAAAAAAAAAAAAAAAAATCATACTAAGGCTCAAAATAAAGAGGAAAATTGGGACATCCCTGGCGGTCCAGTGGTTAAGACTCTGCATTTCCACTGCAGGGGGTGCGGATTCAATCCCTGGTCGGGGAACTAAGATCCCACATGCCGTGCAGTGTGGCCAAATAAATAAATTAAAATATATTAAAAAAAAAAAGATGAATAGACTTGATTTCACAACAATTAAAAAAAAAATAAGAGGAAAATATCTGCTATAGACTGAATGTTGATGTCCCCCCTCCAAGCATATGTTGAAATCTCATCCCCAATGTCAGGGTATCCGGAGGTGGGGTCTTTGGGAGGTGTTTAGGTCATGACAGCAGGCAGAGCCCTCATGAATGGGATTAGTGTCTTATAAAAGAGGCCCCAGAGAGCTCCCTCATCCCTCCTGCCATATGAAGTTACAGCAAAAAGAGGGACATCTATGAACCAGGAAGCAGGCTCTCACCAGACACTGAATCTGTTGGCACCTTGATCTTGGACTTCCCAGCCTCCAGAACTGTGAGAAATCAATTTCTGTTGTTCATAAGCTACATAATCTATGGTGTCTTTGCTAAAGCAGTCTGAGGCTGGCTATAAGACAATATCCAAGCATTTTACAAAAAACCCTAGCTTTTTGCTCCTTTATATTCCTAGTGAATATTAAAGTAAAAGGACTAATGAGAAAATTAATAAGGGTGCTTGAAACAAAACCCTTTAACCAATCATGCTGATTTTCCACTTCTACCCCGCTCACCTCTTGGTGTGTAATTCGGACTCCATTATAAAAAGACATAACAGTATTGGGTCCCACTGCTACCTTTGAAAACAGTCCTTCTCCAGCACTGGAAATGAGAGATTCCGCAACATAAACCCTAAACAGAAAAAAGGGGCAAATAATGATTTTTTTTTAGTTTGATATGTCATCCCTTACATCAACCACCAAAATAGTCTTATAGCTACGGGATACAAAATGTCAGTTCATAATAATCCAATGAGGAAGTAAGAAACAGTGAAACCACATATTTTGGCATTAGAAACTGGAGAACTGTTACTTATTTCTCTCACTGCTCTCTAATAAAGGGATTATTAGTATATATTCACAAGGTAACTCAGTGCTTGATAGAAGGTTTTTAAAAATTTGTCTGTTTTAATTAATGACAATTTCCACTGTCTTCCTAGACAAGGCAAACATTTCCCAAAGCTAATTAAAGCTATACCTAAGTTTCTCAGTGCCAAATAGGAGGGAAAGACTGTTTTAATGGAGCCCCAAGATGAATCTTTTACATAATAAAATATATCCAATAAGCACTTCCCAACAAAGGAGTTTATAGCAGATCAGCTCAAGGACCGAATCTGGCTGTGTCCATTTTTGTAAATGAAGTTTTATTGGGACACAGCCACACCTATCTGTTCAATATTATCTATGACTGCTTTAGCATTACAAAGGTAGACTTAAGTAGTTGCAGTAGAGACCCACAAAGCCTAAAATACTGACCACATGGCCCTTTATAGGGCAAGTTTGCCCACCACTGGTTTATAAGAAAACAGCGCTCATGATTACGGAACTGGATTTAGTAAGTAAGTACATGCCCCGTCCACAGGATTTCAGTTCTTCTGGCCCCTGTGATGTAATGACTCTGGTGGAACTGGTCATCTGGGATTTTTGTTATGTAGATCTTCTGCTTATTTGATGGGCTGGAAGGCTGAATTATTGCTTTTACCTCTTGACTCTCTCCCTGGGACAGAATTATACGTCCTGCTGCTTGGCCGCATGACTGCCCTTCAGCTTGGGCTGAGGATACATCCCTGCCTGACTGACTTTGGTCTTGGCCATATGATCTGCTTTGCAACTAGGCAGAAGTGACTGCAAAGCTAGGTCTCGGATATTAAGAAGCATGGCGAGTTTCTGCCAGCTTCCTTGAGTTTCCATTCATCTCCACAAGAAGAAGATGCCCCGGGGGGCTGTTGCTCCCTTAGCCTGAGTCTTGGAATGAAGGCATGTGAGACAGACTGGAACCCAACTTGAAACCTGGAGTGTAGCCTAGTCCAGCTGAGCCGAGTTGAGCCCAGTCAAAAGTGGCTGAACGTCAGCCAATCTACAGAAGCATGAGCGTAAAAGAAAATGTTTGCTTTCATAAATCACTGATAGTCTGAGGGTATTGTTATGTGGTATCATCACAATGACAGTAACAAAAAATGACTGATGCATACGGTTATGGTACTGTTGTGTTTTGGGGGCTAACAAGAGACCAAACCTTTCTCCCTGCAAACAGTCCAGAGCCTCGTGTCAAGAAAGAGGCCATTCATTCATTGTGACATTGTGGTGTCAGCCCTGTCAGTTAAACCAGGGAAGAGGCCTTTTCTCTGATGGGGACGGGACAGAAACTGAATAGAAGCCACGCTTACAGAGTGAGGCCAAGAGAAAGCCAACTGCAGATGGCACTCTTACCCACAAACAAGCCAGTCGCTGGGGAATAAGAACCCCAGGCAGGGGACCAGAGAAAACCATACCAGGAGCTTAGAGTTTAGCTAGGGTATGAAATGGAACAGGGCTTGACACTCTGGGAGGGATCTTAGAGAATCAGAAACTTGTAATTTATAAGCTGGAATGTTTTTATGCTTCATGTATTTTCTTTGTTTCACTCCTGTCTTCCCTTAGTGAATAAAGAAATTATCTCACATTCCAGACCCCCTCAGCTGGGCTAAGTAGAAAAGGAGGCATTTGGTCCCTGCCTCGGCTAGAGCTTTCAAGAGTGTGAAATGCTCCCTAGGGGCCAGCAGGGGCTAAGGCACAAACTGTGGCACCAGAGCCCCAAGAAAGGGGACGCTTGAGCAGGGCATAGCTGGCTGCCTGGCCCAACTGCTGTCTTTGTAGAAGCTTCATTCTGGGACTGACACACAAGCTGTTCTGTGCTTTATGGGTGGAAAAACTTCCTTACAGGGACAGATTCTATATGACAATAAAAACACTCTTCCTCGGAATATATGACTATTTTTTTCTGCTCAAGAACTCGGCCTTAGCAGAGGGCCAATAATTCCTACCACAAGGGTTATTTAATCTCACATAAATGGTGCTGTTTAAACCACATGGAAAAAATTACCTCTCTGATTCATACGGATCTGGAAGAAGGGCATTGGTAGAAATGCAAGATGCAGTTGACTTATCAAAGTGGTACACCGAACCTAAAAAGCAAACAAAAATCTCAGTACAAGGCCCAGAGTTAGGGAAGAGCGTTCTCTCTATCCACAGGACCAGAAAGAGTTAAATAATGAAAAGTGTTATTCAAGTCAGGCCAACTAGAATGAAATTCTTCAATATAAATGGATAGTTTTCTAAAATGATAATAGGTTTTTATGATAAGAAAGTTTACTGGCGCGGGTTAGGGGAAAAGAAAAGTTTACTTATGCTGAGTGTGCAAACATAATAAATTTCTTAGCTTCATTCTCCATCATATTCACATGAATCTCTTGGTGATTAAAATAACATCCATTATATTTAAGAGAATTTACGATTGTGAATAGATAAACCCCAACTCCTCATTTTGTTACGTAGTAAAAGGTACACATATGGGTTTTATTTCTTTTCCTGAATATCTAAGTGGAAAAAATACATACAGATAATCAGGAAAAAGTTAATCTAAAGAAATACTTTTTTTATATTACTCCTGAAATGCTTTCACTTTATTCAAGAATATAATAATGAAGATGGCTATCATGTTATACAGCATAATTTACTTTCTCTCTTTCATTCTACAAATATCTGGAATTACCTGGGTGCTCTACATGCAAGCATCACCCACACCATTTGGTACAACTGATGTTACACCTCTAAGATCACTTATGATTGGAGAATCATAAGTATAACAAATATTGCCATAACGTCAAATATTTTCATACGAGGGGATTAAAATCTGCTGTTTTGTTTGTTGAACTTTGTGATGTCGAATTGAGTCGCTAAAAGATATTTTTAGGTTATTACTGAATACAGCGATTGGATGCTTAGTAGATGGGAACGGTAACATGTGGTAATATTAGTTCTAATTAAAATATGTGATAGAGGGACTTCCTTGGTGGCGCAGTGGTTAAGAACCCGCCTGCCAATGCAGGGGACATGGGTTCGATCCCTGGTCCGGGAAGATTCCACATGGCATGAAGCAACGAAGCCCATGCACCACAACTGCTGAGACTGCGTGCTGCAACTAGTGAAGCCCGTGTGCCTAGAGCCCGTGCTCTGCAACAAGAGAAGCCACTGCAATGAGAAGCCTGAGCACTGCAACGAAGAGTAGCCCCCGCTCGCCGCAACTAGAGAAAGCTCACGCACAGCAACGAAGACCCAAAGCAGACAAAAATTAAAAAATAAAATAAAATTAAATTAAAAAAAGTTCAATGACAGGGAATATTGTGTAAAAAAAAATATGTGATAGAATGAGATAGTAGCTGACTGGCTAGGTAACATGCTTCCTATAGGCAGGTTTACACCAGTCATTACAGATTGCTGTGCAAGACATAAATGGATAGTTTTTAGGTTTGTTCTGGAGTTTCGTTCTCAGGTCTTAATAAACAGCCATCAGAAGTATCTTTTAAAATCCCATTTTTGCTTTTGAATTTTCTTTATTCATATGGTTTAAAAGCTGCTTGTGTAATTACAATTTTTAATCAAGAAAAAGCTTTGTCATGAAAATTGGAGATCTCTCTGGTCAGATCAGATTGGATAATAGTTTTAAATTTTTCTTGTGGTTTTCTTGATACTAGACACAGTCTATAGACTCCAACCACCCACCCTTGGCAATTGTCTCCTTCACTAAAAATAAATTCAGCCTCAGCAGAATTAAGGAGAACAGACTGCTTTTGATAAAGCATTAACAAAGTCATCTTATTTCTATTAAAGTGGTTCAGAAGCCAATTAGTAATTTATTCCAGAAACGAAGGTACACAACCGTCCTAGAATTAATGTTCGTTCTCTGCAAAGAATTAGCTTCAGAGCATCCTCCCAGAGCACAAGGAAGACATACGGTGTTCCAAAGGCTAATAAGTAAAGAAACAAGTTTTGGAACTGGAGGGCTTACTCCAGCAAAGTCAATTATTTTAGGTACTAAGGCATCACAAATTATTCCACTAAGCAATTCCTAAGTGGTCACCAATGGCTACCAGGTCCTCTTTCTGTTTCCTTTTTTTATACAATCAAACCCCAAATTAATGGGCTTCCCTGGTGGCACAGTGGTTAAGAATCCGCCTGCCAATGCAGGGGACAGGGGTTCGAGCCCTGGTCCGGGAAGATCCCACATGATGCGGAGCAACTAAGTCCGTGCGCCACAACTACTGAGCCTGCGCTCTAGGGCTCACGAGCCACAACTACTGAGCCTGCATGCAACAACTACTGAAGTCCACGCCCCTGGAGCCCGTTCTCCGCAACAGAGAAGCCACTGCAATGAGAAGCCAGCGCAGCGCAACAAGAGTGGCCCCCGCTTACTGCAACTAGAGAAAGCCCATGCACAGCAACGAAGACCCAACGCAGCCAAAACTACAATAAATAAATAAATAAAACCCAAATTAATGTCTCAAAGTAAAAGTCAGAAAACAATCCAGATCACTCGGTGTCTAACCAGGAAACAGACCATTTGGGTATTTCAGAGAGAGAGAATTTAATACAGGGAATTGGTTACACAGAGGCTGGAAGAGCTGGGAAGCCAAACAGGGCAGTGAAGAGCACAGAAACTGGCAAGAGCAGGAGGCCAAAACCCTGAGCCACAGGGACAGAGGCAGAGGCATTCCTGGAGCTCTAGAGCTGGGGGAGTCCAGGGAAGCTGGACCCGTGGGGGACCGTCCTGCTGGGAGATGGAATCAGGAGACAGGCCACTGCTGGGGACTCTGCTGGACACAGAGAGGGCTTCTCCCTGCTCCTGTCCCTCTCCGTGTTCCCAGCCTGTGGCCAAAGCCAGACAGAAGCCCCAGGCACAAGAGCCTGGGGAACGCAGCCTGCAAGGGGCAGAAGCCCCATGCAGTAAAGCAGGGCAGGGAAAGGCTGAGGAATGCATCCGGACCAGCACACAGCCCATTAAAGGAAGTTAGTTCAAAAAAGAAGAAAAAAACACTTTCAAACCAAACATTTCTGTGGAATACACATTCTATTGTGCAGAAATTCTCCTGTGAATTCCCATCTCCCTTCCTTAGACTAATACTTTCCTCACGAATGTACTAAGTGCCAACCACACGTAAAGCACTGTGTTAGGGGCTGTGCAGATACCAGTGGGAGTCGCATCTCTTCCTGCCCTCAAGGATGCATCTTCTTCAACGCATACCGTCCCTCCCTCTACTCCCTTAGACAGGCCTGTGCTCCAGGAAAACAGAAGGCACCCTTTCCTTTTCCTCCTTTCCCCTATCGTTGGTACTATGACCTGTGACTAGAATTCATCCATTCACTTGACAAATGTTACTTCTAAGAGGTGAGCCAAGCTGTAAAGATAGAATAGGCAGGGACTTCCCTGGCGGTCCAGTGGTTGGGACTCCTCACTTTCACTGCTAGGGCCCAGGTTCAATCCCTGGTCGGGGAACTAAGATCCCACAAGCTACGCAGCCAAAAAAATAAAAACTAATAAGGGCCTACTGTATAGCACAGGGAACTCTACTCAGTCCTCTGTAATGGCCTATATGGGAAAAGAATCTAAAAAAGAGTAGATATATGTATATGTATAACTGATACACTTTGCTGTACACCTGAAACTAACACAACGTTGTAAATCAACTATCCTCCAATAAAAAAAATTTTTTAAATCAAATTTAAAAAAATGGGAATTCTGATTTAATAGTCCCAAAGTGGGCCTGACAGCCTGCATTTCTAAGAAACATCCAGGTGATGCTGATAACTGTGTTTAAGAAGAAAAAAAAAAAAGATGGAAAAGACATTAGCCAGGGAATGGAATTCCTATGGAAAGAGGCAAAGAGATGAGGAGAAAAGAAATTCCAGGCAGAGGCACAAGGAGAAACTCAGCAAGAAGTAAGTGGAGACAGAGAAGCAGTTCGTGGACCCAAAAGCACAGAGAAAAAGGAGAAGGCGGTTGTAGGAGGATTTTAGGTGAGATACTCGATTTCTGTTTCCCTCTTCCTCTCCCTCAACCACTGGACCAGAGGCCACATGACCCGAAAGCCCTCATCTGTCAGCCAGTCAGTGGTTCAATCACTGTAACTGGAAGAGGAAGGAGAGAGAAGCAAAAGGAGCAGAACACAGAGTAAAGACTGCGCCCGGTGCCTCCCAGTCACCCAGAGCAGCTATGGTTCCTGACCCTTTTGAGACCCAAATTGTTCAACCTATCCTTAAAAGAACTGCGCCTGCTAGAATCTTGCCAATAAATCCACCCCCCTCCTTTTTTTGGCCTTAAGTTAGTTTGAAGAGGGTGTCTGTTATTTGCAACCAGGAGTTCTAAGAAAAATCATCATTCCCCTCTCACTTTCCAAAATGTGTTTCGTACTTATACTAAGAACCACAGTAACTTTCCTGATGGGGGCTTTATGGTAGGTGCCACTATCTGTATTTTATAATGAAAAAACGGGTTCTGAAAGGATAACTAACCTGCCCCAAACCATAATACAGTAAATGTTGGCACTGAGACTCAAACGAGGTGACTCTTAAGTCCAAGACTCTTGCCACTAAAAATGCTGCCACTTCCAAATGCTGCCACTTTTAAAATCTGCATCACCAAGTGGGATCCTCCCCTAGCTGGAGTCTCCTCATTTCTAAACCTTATAACACTGTGTCCTTTTGGAATGGATGTGAAGAGTGCAGATATTAGAGTCTGAAGTTCAAAGATTACTGTTACACTTAAAAAACCCTTCATTTTGGAATGATTTTAAATTTACAGAAAAGTTGCAAACGTAGTACAGAGAGTTCCCAATGCCCCTCACTGCTTCTCCTAATGTTAATTTCTTGTGTTACATGGTGCATTTGTCCAAATTAAGAAACCAACATAGCTGCGTTAGTATTGACTGAACTCCAGACTTTATTCAGATTTCACCAGTTTTTCCACGAATGTCCTTTTTCTGTTCCAGGATCCAATCCAGAATCCCATATTGCATTTAAAATGCCTCAATTTTAAACTTAAAAAAACAAAACCAGAGACATTTATAACAACCCAAGTTGGACCTAAATGTAAAGTGCTAGGCTTCCTATTTTTGGACTACCACCCTTTGGAGAATCTCCTTCCAATCCAAACAGCTAAATATTATTTAGGCCTATCAATGCCTATATATATTATCTTTTCTTTTTTTTAAAAAATTATTTATTTATTTATTTGGCTGCACCAGGTCTTAGTTGCGGCATGCAGGATCTTTAGTTGAGGCACTCAGGATCTTTAGTTGCGGCGCTCGGGATCTCTAGTTGCGGCATGTGGGATCTAGTTCCCGGACCGGGGATTGACCAGGCCCCCTGCATTGACAGTGTGGAGTCTTAACCACTAGACCACCAGGGAAATCCCTGTATTATCTTTTCTCCTTTATTTTCCTTATACCTTAACTTGGATTGGAAATACATATATGCATATTTCAAGGAATCAGACCAATTTAGCTTTCTTAATATTGTGCCACTGCAAATACAAAATCTTGATGTTTTTCTTTGTATATCTTCCAGATTTTCTACAAGAAATAATTTTATACTCAGAAAAAAAGTTTGGTGTGCCATCCTGTACTTCTAAAAAGAAATAGGATTTTTTCTATCATTGATTCCAATAGGATCATTCATGTATGGAATATGTCCTCCAAGAAGATGCTAGACTTTGAAGAGGGCCCGGGTGCCAATGTGCATTTATCCTTCCCAGTCAAAGCTCAGGCTGAATCAGCATTACAATCTGTCCCAACTTGGAGATCTACCTAATTTGATTCTATATCAGTTAAATCATTAAACTGTTTTTTTCCCTGAGATATAATATTTAAAACTGATTAAATTACTGCTGTCATTTCTTCACTCCTTCCGTGCGTTAGAATTATACAGCTATGCCCTTGTCAGATGACTTTTTAGCATGTGCCACTAAAGTGCACGGGGTATATTACCCTGTCTCACTGACGTCCGCCTTGGCCATGTGACTTGCTTTGACCAATGAAAAGTGGGTGAAAGGGACTTTGTGTCAGTTCCAAGCTGAAGCTTTAAGAGGCATCATAGGTGTCTGCTCATGCTCTGGCTTCCTGTGACCACCTGAGAAAACTGACCCAGGCCACCATTGTCCCTTTAGATTGGGCCCAGAATTAAGACATAGAACAGACTCAGCTGACTAGAAGCCTCAGGTCCAGCCTGGCCTGGCCACGCCCCACCTGGACCAGTCGAGTACAGTTGCTTAGCAGACCTGTGTTTGCTGTTGTAAACCACTGAGATGCTGAGGTATCTGTTATGCAGCCAAGCTAATACACCAGACTAGACAAAGAAATTAACTTCTCTTAAGCCTCAACAACCCGTTTTGGAATTAGAGCAACCCGTCTGAAGCAGATTCAACTTACTTCCAGGCATCAGTTCAAAGTGAGGCCTTCCTTCTTCAGTGGACAGAAGAGTAGCCAGTTTCCCTTCTATCATCTCTCCATCAATGAATTTTCCATACAGGGCAGTCCTCTCATCAGGGTACACATATGCTATCTTTTCTCCAGTCATCTCTCCATCTTCATTTACTTCTCCTACAAGGCTGCCTCCATCCTGATGGGAGAAACCCAAAACCAGAAAATATTATATATAGTATTTATCTATATGACATGAGTTCAAGACATTTCCCTTGTGCACTGCCATTGTTAACAGCACTAATATGGATCACAACAGTTTCAGAACATGAGCATGAAAAGCATGAGGCATCTCTCTCCTCCCCATCCAGTCCCCTATAAGTTATATGCACAGGGGGCATATAGCCTGATTTAGAGAGTCAAAGACGGAGTTGTGCTTTATGATCCTTGGACAAGCTCCTGATACTCTAACTTGGTTTGTTATTTAAGAAACAAACATGTTGTATTTGTGATGTAAGTTACAATCATCGAAAGGAAATGTAACTAAGGGTTACTCTGGGGCAATATCAAATGTGATGAGGTAGCAGGACAGTCTTAACTACTCCTATAATTTCACTTCTCAAATATTGAATTCTGGATTTCTGGTCTAGTAAGAAAATCTTAAGTTCAAAGTTACTTAAGAATTAGTTTAGTATACATGAGTAATGGGAGTCATCCGCACTTTCTAAGGGATAAACAAAAGGACTTGTGGACACTGCCTTTCTGAGAATTCTATTCCATCACTTTTTTTGGAGTTAGAAGGAAAAGTGAAAAAAGATCAACTAAATTCTACGCCCTTCCCCATCACTTCTTTCTTCCCACTCGTCTTTATTTACTTCTCCCTTCTCCCTCCTTCCAGGAGAGAAGTCAGCTGTGCTTCCTCTTTAACTGTCATTTGCTTCATTCCAAAGGGTCATTAAATGCTTTAGGGCAGAGGCTATCAGAGAATTCTGCATCCTGGTACCAGTGCTAGGGATACAGTAGATGATATAAATATTTTTAAAACTGAATTGGGATACTAAAACCAATAAATAATTTTAAAAAATCTGATCTAGGGTGCAAGAGATGTTTCCCTTTCTTTTTTTTTCCCATCCAGAAGGTCCTTATGGTATAACTGAAAATCTAAGACCTTCGTGGGTCTGACACAAGACTAGTAAGCCCATGACATCTTCTAAAAGCTTGGATATTCCCCCAACTGAAAGGTTCTAGAAGCAGCTACTCAAAGTCAGTGACGTGGGATGACTTTTAAGTGATTCCAAATGCTGTTTACAGAGAGACAGCAGGAAGAAATACCACCAGGTACAGGATTTCTACAGTTCATCGTAGTCCAATTGCTCTTTGGAGAAAAAAGATTATCAATTAAAAAATGAATCACAGCACTTCCATAGAAACAAAAATACTTGGAAGCATTTTTCATGGATAGAAAGTGCATTAGCGACGTATTATTGCTCTTTCTCCTTCCCGAGTTAATTCTTAATAACCCAGCCCGTACGGGGATGATACTTTTTGCAAGGTCTGCCTTCAGGCTTTCAGTGACTGAGCTGAATGGTGTATTTATGCTTCTTATATGCCGTAACTAATATAAGCCATCAACATGATTATTTCTTCAGAACAGGATTCTGTCTTTCTAGGGTCTCACGTTTTTCTTCCCCCTTATGTGCTTTAAACTTCCAGTTTGGGGGGCAAATGATTTTATTTGTCTAGAATGATAAAGCAGAGATTCTTCTTTTTTTTCCAAAAGGAGTTATGAGTTGTTTTTCTTTTTTTGCGGTACGCGGGCCTCTCACTGTTGTGGCCTCTCCCGTTGCGGAGCACGGGCTCCGGATGCACAGGCTCAGCGGCCATGGCTCACGGGCCCAGCCGCTCCGTGGCATGTGGGATCTTCCCAGACCGGGGCACGAACCCGCGTCCCCTGCGTCGGCAGGCGGACTCCCAACCACTGCGCCACCAGGGAAGCCCGGAGTTATGAGTTTTTAATTAAAAACTTTCCATCACTGTTTTAAGGTCAAATTTTGAAAGAAATAAACTGTCCTTAGAGTGAGCTTACAAATCCTGTAGGGAGGATCATTATTTTTGCCTCCCCTTGTTCCTGCTTTGACTTCATGTCACAAACACTTCTTTGTTGGCTGTGTCAGGGGTGCTGGGGAAGAAACTGCTCCTTTTTCTCCTGTGCTCGGTGGCTCCCCCTCATGGGAGGAGAAATCGTTCACTTGGTTAGTGAGAAGGCAGGATCTGACACCCACTGACACCCAACTCTACTGGGTAGGGGTTAACGGCATCAGGCTGCTGCTCTCATGTGTTCTGCACTTTCGCTCACCTGTCTTGGGAACTGACAGTGCCCACAGGCTGCACCTGCTCCCCTCTCGGTCCTCTCCTCTCCCTGGGGAAGCTCCCCCAAGCAGCCCTACTCCTCAAGGGAAACCTGCAGCTTTCTAGCTGCTCTGTGGGCAGCTGGCCCATCCGTTTAGTTCAGAGGGGCAGGAGTAGAAGCCCAGGCCACATCTCCAGTCCAACTCCGCCATAATGAAGCCAACATCCTGGTCCCTGATACCTACGTCTATTTCTTAATTGATTCCCAGTCCAGAGAGCAGAGCAGTGGGGTGTGATTACCAGCCTCCCCCAGCCCCGACCCCAAATGCCAACAGATACTATATACAAAGTGTTATCAACCAAGTTGATTTTTAAAGCTTGTAACTCCCTAGTGCTTCTTCCTTCCTAAGGCAGAGTCTTCTCTCGGTGCTTTAAAAGACAGTGATTAAGGCTGAAGGCTAAAATGCAGCTGCACATTCTAGGTTTCAAAATGCAACTACATTGAGCCAATCGGATCCATTCACCTCAGTTCATCGTTGATCTCCTCTAGGGACTTAAATTGATCATAGTCACAAGTAAGATGACAGGTAGTGGGAGAATCTGGTAATCCGCTACCTCTTTCCTAGACCCACCCTCATGAGGAATTCCACGTTCCCAGGCTTCAAGATTCACTGTCATATCGGCAGCTCCCCAGCACTGGGCAGCAGGAAGCTTATCCTGCCTACTGATGAAGCAACGAAAGTTTCAGGCTTCCTAACTGGTAAGTACCTCCATCTCTTCTCCCTCTGTAACTGAAAGGACTTGTGAGCTATTGCAGATCCTACCAAGAGAATGTGTAAATGCTTTCGTAATTATTTTAAAGAATGTTTTACAATATTTTTTCTTATGCCTAGAGTATAGCTTACTTTTTAGGAACAATAACATGTAAATAGATTTAGCTGGGACTACTCTTCTTGTTATACATGTTTTTATTAATACTTTTAAATCAAAAGAGGATACGGTTAAGACTAAGAAAAAAAACGTATTTTGACTTAAGCTCTGGACAAAATAAAATATTTCCTCAGGTTTATTTTCTGAAACATTTTCTGGAAATTCACTACAAACAGATGATGTATTTGAAATGCAAACAAAAATTACAGCATTAATTCCCAGCCATGGGTTTTGCCACATTTTTTTGCTCTAGTCAGCTCCAGAAAGATCATAAAATGTTATCAAATACTCAGAGGAAGTTAATTTTAATCACCTTGATTTAAGCAAGATAAACCAGAAAGCAGGGAGTAGGATTGTAAAATCAAGTAACAATAGTGTAGTAAGTCCAAAAAGATGGGAAATTGCTGGATTAGTTCTTACATATGAGAAAGAATAACATTAATTGCAACAACGAGACATTCCAGCATCTCTTTCTATATCCCAAAGGAATATTTTTAAAAAGCAATATATTTTTGTCTTTATTAGTGGTACAATCAAACCAGTTTGTCCCAGCTTGTTTTCATCATGACTAATCATTCCTTTCCAAAGCCACCCTGAGGAGAAATTCATAGTAGATCGGAGCACAACAATCAAAGTCAATAGTGAAACTGTGAGAGGATATCCCCTTAAGCTGTTGGCTTCAGCTACCGACTCTCAAGTTTCACAGCCTCACATTTCCTAAGATAGAGAATACATTTTGTTATTCATTGGGAAGACTCGAAGCATTGTCTTAAAACTCGTTACTTTCCAGCAAAATGAACAGTCGTGAGGCTTACTGGGTAATATATCCAGCACACTCCATGCCGAATGTTATCTTTATATTGTCCCTTGAAGATCAGTCTTCCATCTGTGTCGTACTCCTGGGCAGGTCCATTCAGCTCTCCGTCTACATATGTGCCCTGGAGAACTCCTCCATCCTCATAAGTGTAAACTCCCTGGCCCTGCAGGGCATCATCCACATAATATCCCTCCAGGGTGCTGTGAGAGAAGGGAGAACAAAAGAGAACAGTCAGACAGTGACTCAACTCTCTTAAAAGAAAGGATCACACCACGCCCAGCTCTGTTCCAATGCTGGCCTGTATTCAGTACATCCTCCTGAATTCTCCGAGATTGCTAGGAAAAATACTCCCAAGATATGGGTAGGATTAGATACTGAAAGGGAGATTTAATTCCTAATCTCCTGGTTCCTATTAATCCAATTTCTCTACTGGAGGAAATACAGAAGAAAGAAGCCACAGGTGGCAAAGAACAAGCCTCATCTAAGTATGTTTCCAAGGCTAGATGCCAACCAATACCGGGCAATAGAAATTCTGGTGTTACCCTTTCCACACATAAACCACCCTTTCCACACATAAACCACTCATGCTTAATTTCCCTCAAGAGTTCCAGAATTCACTGGGAGTTCTCAAGGGTCTTTCAGATGGCTTGTATATAGTGGTCTCTAGTAATACAAATGTGGTTTAGAACGTGTAGATGTCTGCTTATCTGTCTTAAGCCATTAATGCATTATTTATCGGTGACAACCATAACTGGTATCCAATCAAAAGTATCCCCATCCATCTCTTTGGAAGATATATGGGGATTTACTCGTGTGTGCGTGCGATCATGGGAAATAGGGGCAAGTAAGGAAGATGGCCCGCTCAACCTTGCTACTATCATTAGCAGCCTGATAAAGTTTGAGACCCGTCGTCCTAGAACAGAAGAAAGCTCACAAGGGTGCTCAGGGTGATTTTACAAGAACCTTTTTCTCTCCTCATAAAACACTCCTGGAATTTCAATACATGTTTTCAGTGTCAGCCTCGCAAAGGCCATTATGCAATGAAACTAACTTTATCCAAAAATTCCCTTCATGAACTGGAATCTGGAATGAGGGGAAAGACCGGCTCAAATTATTTTTTACAATTAAAAAGTAACATGTTTAGCAACAAAGACAGTTTGATTATTTTAACATGTGCAGATAACACTCATTCATTAATTCAACTAACAGACATTTACAGGGTGCCTTCAAGTAGTGAGCGTCGTGTGAGGATCTAGAAAGCATGATGAACAAACACAGAACCAGGAGACCGGTACTGGGGACAGGTGGGACCCAAAGGGGGCCATGGGGACCGAGGTGGCTGCACCTGAGTCTGCCTGGAAAAGTGCTGTCTTGCTCTAATGAATGACAGAATGATCTGTAATTATTAAATGAAAAGCACAGTCTAAATAACGATAGCCTCTGATTACATTGTAATTATACTATTTGTAGTCTCCCAAGGAGATAAATCGTTCTCTTTCAGTTTTGTTTGTACTATCAATGATAAACAGGCCTAGTAAATTCATGAAGAGAAAAAGGTGCACTTTAGCACAGCCCTTGCATCAATAATCAAAATTCTATGTCAGTGAGGTCGGAATTAAGGAGATTCGGCTGTCATTAGACTCCTGCCATGAAAAAAAAGAACCTTGGTGAAGGATTACTAATCAACTGACATAATGATGCAATAGACAGGGCAAAAAACTATTTAATCATCTATCTTCAGTTTGGGGATTGCCAGATAAAACAGAATATGCTCAGTTAAGTTTGAATTTCAGATAAACAACAAATAATTTTTTAGCATAAGTATGTCCCAAATATCGAACTGGATATAGTTGTACTAAAATATTTTTCGTTGCTTACCTGAACCATTTTAACTGGGTGCCCTGGATTTTTATTTGCTAAACCTGGTGACCCTATTGACTTCGAATTCTCAGCAGCATTCAAAATGTTACTGTGTATGTTTGGGCAGAATTATCCCCTGACAGACTAGTCTGCCAATGTTTCTTAGGTTTATGATGAAATCTACAAGGCATGGGTCTCACGAATCAGTTAACCAGTCCTGTGGGTTTGCACATATTTCCCCCAGGTCATGCCCCGTAGTTTGTCCCGCCCTCCCTCAGAGCAGAACCTTCCCTTATTAGTATCCTAATCCTAAGAACAAACTGCTCTTTCCCGTAGCTCAACGAACGTTAAGATTCCCAAATGCAAATTCTTAGGTATTGGAGAGCAAAACTTACTGCATTGTTTTCCAGCCCCTGCCTGAGGAAACAGCTTAGCTTCCTTAGTACATTTTTTTGGTAGCTTGGATGGAATCTGATAACAAAAAGGGGGCATGTTATCACATGAACTGGGGTCTCCAGGGCAATAAAAAATGATAAGGCTTTGAAATCCTTTCATTTCAAAGGAAATAAAAGCTTCTTAGTCTGGTGTTAAAGGCACCACCTTTCTTTCTAACTTTTTCCTCCAGAGGAGGCTGGCAAACCATGGCCGGCTGCCTGTTTTTGTAAATACAGTTTTACTGGAACACAGCCATGAACATTCCTTTCCGTATCCTCTGTGGCTGCTTTCATATGACAACAGCAGAGTTGAATAGTTGCAACAGAGGCCGAATGTGGCCCAAGCAGCCTAAAATATTTACTATCTCACCCCAGGCAGAAAAAGTTTGCCGACTCCCGCTCTAGAATCCTCTGCTCACATTAGTTTATTCACTGGCCCCAAGCACACATCTATGTATCTTAGCTCCTATACTATGTTTTCCCTGCCTCTTCCCTTAAAACATATGTAACCAAACTTTTAAAATCCCTGAGGACACATTCAGGAAAAAAAAGTTACGGGTCACATTTTCCTTTTTTTAAATTCAAAACAAAAATGACTTTGGGAAAAGAATGAATATTCTCCAACCTCTGGTCTTTTTCTATTTCAGAAAGAAATCGACTATGAGAAAATGGCACTATTTTGTAGCAACTCAATCATTAATATCTGGTTATATCTGAGAAGTAGCTATGGAGGAATAACTTTCTAATCTTCCTTGCTGAAACTGGATTGGGAGCTGTGTTGTGGAGGAAGGTGTTCTCATCACTGGCCTCCCCAGAGCCTACCCATCCTCCATATGGAGCCGTACTTCCCACAGAGTCTACCTTGACCTCTGCAACCACAGTCACTGAAGCCTAGTCATGGACTAGTACAGGATGTGCCACGTCTTTATCCATGATCAGCTTACGGGTCCTATTTCTCTAAATAGATTGTAAGCCCTTTAGAGGAACAAATTAGGCATTATGTATTCCTCCCTAACATATAAACACAGCATATCTTCAAGTGATATTTCCTAAATGAAAGAGTGGAACTGGGATAATCTTGCTTTGAGAAGAGAAAATTGAGAGGGAACATAAGGATGTTAAGAGTATTTCTCAAGTGCAGGGAGGATTCTTTATATGAGGTGTATGTGCATACAGTCTGCAAGTTAGGAAAGTTTCTTAAACGCTCTGCTTTATTTCTCCATTTGTAAACTGCAGCTGCTAATAGGGTTATTAAAAAGTACATGGGTTAATACATATTAAGTGCTTAGAAGATGATCTGAGACATAATGATTGCTCGAATAAATAACAGCTATTGTTATTAAGCATGCACTTTCATGTACATGATGGTGAGCTTTCTACTGAGAAACTTGGCCTAAAACAGCAGCAGCAGGGAAATAGTTATGAGACACTGGAATAGATCGTCAAAGAAACTGACAACACTGCTCTAAATCTACTTAAAAAAAAAAACAAGTAAGGCCTTCCGTGGTGGCGCAGTGGTTAAGAATCCGCCTGCCAATGCAGGGGACACGGGTTCGAGCCCTAGCCCGGGAAGATCCTACATGCCGCAGAGCAACTAAGCCCGTGCGCCACAACTACTGAGCCCACATGCCACAAACTACTGAAACCCATGCGCTTAGAGCCCGTGCTCCGCAACAAGAGAAGCTACCCCAATGAGAAGCCCACGCACCGCAATGAAGAGTAGCCCCTGCTCACGGCAACTAGAGAAAGCCTGCGCGCAGCAACAAAGACCCAACATAGCCAAAAATAAATAAATTATATATATTACTTAAAAAAAAACCCACACAAGTAAGAAAGATCCCTCTCTGTCTGAGGGAAGGATGGAATAAATGCTTCTTTAAGTGAAAAAAGTAATATGTATTCATTGTAAAGTGAACAAATAAATCAAATACTACAAAGATGCAGAAACTCCCAGTACTCTTACCCAATTTGGCAATTTACCATTTAAGACTTTTTTCCATTTATATATTAAGCATTTTCCCACCTGTGTGGTTTTTTTTTTTTTAACAAAAAAGGGGATCATATCATACACAATGTTCTTGACTTGTATTTTCTTAAAATTTCTTTCAACATCTTGGCAGATTTTTTAGTATGTTAAGAAGCTGCAAAACTGGTTTGATTTTTCTGGTACCAGCATCTGAATCAAATAACTCGAAAACATGGAGAAAATTTAAAAATCAATTTTAATTAGATTTCTTTCTTTCCATATACACAGACCATTTTCATCTGTTTTATCAAAGCTCTTGTACTTAAATTTCCAGTATTAAATTAAATGAGAAAATCTAACTTACGAAGAAATGAAAATTTTTTGTAATTGTTTACCTAGACTGATACAGCTGCAATCTATTCAACTATTTTCATTTTAAAATTCTCTTTAATATCTGAATACACAAAAGTGTTCTTAGGAGACTAAACAGCTTTGGCTTTTCCTTCATATTTTGGCCTCTAGAAGGTTTGGGGCTTTCCAGCTCCTGAGGCATAAACTCTGTTCCCTCCCCCACTGTGTTGCCTTTCTTTTGTCTGGTATAGAATCAAGAGGGAAATTTTAAATGAATGATAATTTTACTTTAAATTCCTGTCTCTAACCAAATTAAATTGTGACTCTTAGTATTTAAACATTGTCTTAAGAACTAGTTATATGACAATATATATTATCTCTTTTTTTTAATTGAGATAGTACTGACATATAACATTATACTACATATTATCTCTTAAAATCTTGAAAACTAAGTAAAGAAGAACATCAATAACAAACCCAAATCATCTGCTGGGGCTATACGCAACGAGAAACTTCAGCTTCTTCCAAGATGTGACAAGCAAACTGAATGGAGCTCTGTAATGCTTCCATGTAATCCAGTGCACTATCT